CCCCAAAACCCCAAAACCCCAAAACCCCTAGTATCAAAATTTATCATTAGAATGCAATTAATTTTTTAATAATCAAGATTTAACCTTAATAAAAATGTTTAAAAAAAAGTCATTAGACTATCATAAAAGTCCTGTTAAAGCCTAGCAGCACAAGATAGTAGATATACTCCAAGATTTCGAAAATCAAATATTAGGCTCAAATTTACAATTTTCAAGCGCTCATGGGATGAAAGAATAGATCAAGCCCTTAATCTAACAATGTAAAATTCTTTTGTTTTCAACAACAAATTATGAGCAAGAAGCCGTCAAACTACTCTAAAAATAATAGACAAAGGGCATGTGTGCGAAACCCTTATTCTTTGGGGATATAATATGGGAGTGCTTCGATTGCCAAATCTAGCCTCTTTGTATCTAGTGTGAGGAGTGTTTTGAAAAGACTGATCATACAGGACACAAGGTAATAATGCATAAAAATCTTAATGGATCTTGCGACTGTGGAGATGCCAATAATTGGAAGCCTTCAGGAAACTGCAGTGATCATTAAGGCACTAAAGAATCTATTCAAGCCTCAATGAAGAATATTGATCAAAATATTCTGATAAATTCAGGTTATGTGATTTAATATCTAGTCCAATCTATTAAGAAGCACTGTCTAATTCTGTAGAAAGATCCTAGTAATTAATTTTTGCAATCCATGATTTATATGCTTTGTGATTTCTTTATTTGGATGATTGATCTCTCTCCAGCTTTCATCTAAATTACTGAAGATGTCATAAGAAATTAAGTTGATGATAGTGAGAGTTTTCTTCGATTAAACAAGTCTCTGAATCATAAATGTGGAGTTTATCTTTAAATCAACGTGGAATTGACTCCATTTAAAGCAGATTAAAATTCTCTAAATTTAACAAGGTTCAAAGATATGTGTTACTGCAATATGTTTGATTTATTAGCTTAGGTAAATCATTTGTTTGATAAGGACGCTCAAAAAGTAATGTACACACTTGGATTGAAATTCATTTAAAGTGATTACTTTAGAATACTAGTTGGATTATCATTATTCAGAAGTTATGAGGAGATATAAACTCATAGAAATGATGATAGTAGTTTTGGTAATCTTTTCATTCAGTTTTATGCAAGTGATTACTCTCAATATTAGACACTGAAGTATCCTTAAATTCGGGAAATCATCATTGGTACAATCAACAAACTAATAAAATAGTTCGTGCTTAATCAAACAAAAGAAAAAATGAGTCCACTTACATATTGCTATACAGACTTAATCAAAATGACTTAGCCAATTACAGCTGAAATGCTAATCCAGAATACTGATTTTATTTTACAACTAATTGATCACCTGCAGGAATATTACTTCTTAGATTTAACTAAATATCAAACAACCCATGTTACCTATGAGCATCAGTTTGAAAGAAAACTATATCACTAAGCCAGTGGAAAGGTTTGCTAGGTTCTCTCATGCTATTTGGATAGAGTAGATCCATTTGATATATCTCTAAATAGAAAGATTATGCAAAGATTTATGCTAAATTTCACATTAATTGATCAGAAAGTATCAAAAGTTGAAGAAGATCAAGCATTTGCATTAATTCCTCTGCATAATGCTTTTTCTAGATATTTTACTCGTCTAGTAATGCAAAACTACCTCATTGAAGTAAAAGAAGATAACTATCTTAGTTCTAAAGATTTGATGATAAGTATAGCTTTTAGATTTCTGAATTCAAGCTGTGAAGACGAAGACAGATAAAGACTAATAGCGATAATTTTGAAACCTCTCACCATTTCGTGGACATTCATCCATGAGATAGCTAGCAATAAGTGGGTAATGTGCGGATAAAAGATTAAACAGTCATATTATTATCTCTATAACTATAATTCAACGATATACTACAACATTGCTTTGTATCAAATTCTAATCTCTGTTTCACCAATCCCAGGCTAGATAATTGAGGGTATTATGAATATTTAATAAAGGGATTAATGGATGAAAGTTACTATGAACCATTTAAAAGAACCTTCAGCAATGAGTGAGTCATATCTAAATCATATTTAAGCTAATTTTGATGAGAAAAAGTTAAGTCAAATGATCTATTTTCAATTGAGACAACTTATAACTATTTGTGTAAATGAGCTTCCTATTCTTTACAATTTAGTTGATTTCGAAGTTAGCCCGATGATTTAGGATGAAGTTAAAATGATGTTTGAAAAGGATATTAAGAGAAGTCTAGTTCACTCAATGATGATTTAAGGATTGAGGAGTGACATTGAAAAAATAAGATAATGTACCTTACTCATTTATGAGCAGTCTCCCTCATTTGAAAAAATTCTTCGAGAAATTACTGAGTAAACTAGAGACAATAACACTGGTAAGATGATTTTCAAAATAAAGAATGAGCTTCTAAATCAATTCGATCCTTACTTTTATGTAATACCAGAAGATCAAGAAAAGGCTTATGAGATTATAAACTCATTGCAATAAGAGAAGAAATTTGTAGATGCTAATATTGGCGATACATTTGAGAATTATCAATATAGCTCATAAATAAATTAGCTAGCTTCTGAATCTCTAATTAATCCTCATCTCATTGAATATCTTTCAAATTTGATGGAGGAATGGATTGTAGATTCAAGAAAATTGCAAAAAGTTCAAGTGCTAAATGATAAGATTGGAAATTAATGTCTTAAGCTTTTCTTAATCATTTTTAAAGCAGCAAACAATTCTTAATAAATAGAACTGCAATCAACATTAATCTAGATTATATTAGCATTGCCTTAATTTTAAGGTGTCTTGGAAGCAATAGGTAAGAAAAACTAGCAATATCAAATTATCGTTCAAAAAATCATAAAGGAGTTGAACAAACTAAAGGGTGAAGAAGACTAAATTATGATGGACTTAAGCAATTCATAGACAGCCGCTGATGATTAAAAGAAACTTCAAAGAGACCAAGCTAAATTAAAATAATAAGAGATTATGAAGAAGTTTCAAAACAAGAGGAATAATTTCGCTAATTAAGTTCAAGAAGAAAGCAAATAATAAGAAGAGACTAAATCTTAAAGTAGCTATAATAACTAATAAACTATCAAATAGTGTTCTTTCTGTCTTGAAGAACTCTAAGACTCTAAATACATTAATCAGCCATTCGGAAGATTCGCATATTTCACGTAGACCCAGATACTTTTCTAAAGTATTAAGCAAGCGATGAGTCGAAATAAAGATAGAATTTGTTATGATAATGGATAATATGATGAGATACTTAAACTTCTGGGGTTAAATATTCTAGAAAATTCTACTTACACTAGTGATACTATCCTCAGATGCAATCATTATGCTCACGATAGTTGCTTATAATACTATTTAGAGTCAAACCAATAAGGTTAATATACTTAATAACAAAGAAATTACATTGGAATTTCAATGGATTAATTTTATTGCCCTCTATGCAAGAGTCTATGCAATATGTTACTTCCCGATAATGATCTTAGTGAGGTTCTCACTTTGATACGTAGCTAGCATGATAGTCATAAATTTGCTTCTGTGTTAAATTTTTCTAACGTGATAAACATGAAGATCAGTAGTAAGTTGAAATTAGATGAAGATACAGATGATTAAGGACAGATTTAACTAGATTCAGTTTTGAACTTTTTCATCCAGAATATCATGCTATTAAAGATAGACAAAGTTTAGTAAAATTTCTTCAACTCTTAATACTCTAATGAAATACTCATTAATTTTGATGATTTAAACTTGCTTCTAAGAATGTCCTTGAACTTTACATAAATAGTAACGAAGATCAGAGAACTAGGAGATAATAGCAAAAAAGTAAATTTGAAATAAGAATACTCCTAACTTATTAATAATAGAATAAATAAGGAATTACTCGAGCTTGAAAATGGATTTGTTTATCTCAAAGATTTAACTTTAGTATCAATGCGAATTATCCTGCTCTTAGTAATTGATTAGTAAAGTACTGAAAATGAACTTAATAAGTCTATAAGTTTCATTTTAACTGCACTTTCAGATCATGCTCTTGTTTAGTAGAATTTGATATCTAAAAAATAAGGACAAAGCTCTTAAGCTAATTGCTATATTCATGATAATTTCTTGAAATTAAATGCTTATATGCTTTTGGCTATAACCAATAAAAATTCAAAATTCTAGGATTCATGGATGAAAAAAAATCAAAAGCTTTTAAGCCTACTAAGTAAAAACCAATGTGATATTGAGAGCTTCAAAGCTTATTTAGGCTTAAGTAACAATTATGAGGATTAATTCGGAAGAACTAATTAAGAATCAATTACAAATTTGCAATAATATTTGGCTTTTGGATCTATTGCTGATGATGAATATTAAAAGAATTCAATAGATTGTTACTAAGCTTTCTATAATAGTGTTTATGCTTAAAATAAGAATCTTATAGATTACTCATAGAACTATTTGACAAAGATTAATCTTCCTTTTGAATTCATATAAATACCACACAACTTTTAACAATTTGTACTCAAGTATTACAAGCAAAAATGTGATAGATGCAAGAAAGTACCTGAAAATGGAGCTGTATGCTTACTTTGCGGATAAGTTTTATGTATGAAAACTGACTGCTGTTAAATCAATTCTATTGCAGAATTGACTCATCATTCAAGAGACTTTGAAGGAGGAGTTGGTGTTTATATTTGGATATAAGGAGGTTATATGTATCTAATTGAAAACGGTCGAGTAATTCAGAAATCTTGCCCCTATGTCAATTAATATGGAGAATCGTTTTAACAAAATAAGTCTAAGGATTGGGATTAATTCACATTGACAGGAGAACAGGCTGCACATTCATCCTCTAGTTTAAGTGAAAACTATTGTGGAAGTTATTGCTAGACTGGCATTATTGATAAAATAAAGAAATAATACATTGAGCTAAGAATCGCTAATGAAGTCATTAAATAAAGACAAATTAACTAATTAAATATTAGAATTGGATCGATTTGATCGAATTTATTTATTACATATCAACAATTTATATATCTAACTCTCAGATCATTCTTTTGGGGTTTTGGGGTTTTGGGG